CTAATAGCTTCTTGTTACTAGTAGTAAGGCACTTGTTACTAGTAGCGATGCACTTGTTCCTAGTAGCGAACCTTGTTACTAGTAGCACTTCTTGGGTTCTTCACCCCCTCGAAGGAGGAGAAAATTCCGAGGGTCACGGTCCCAACAGCTGTATAGGGGAAACAGGTTCAATTCAATATAATGCAATGCTTTGGCGTCCTATCCACCATTTCGCCCCAAGATTCACTTCCTCGCCCGTTTTCGCATGCGTTGAGGTCTTCGACCGTGGGGCCTGGGGAGTGCTGTCCATGAGCAGCCAGGCCTTCTTCCGACAGTTTGGGCACCTCAGAGGTCGCCGACTCTCTCGTCGTTCTTTGGCGCAAAGGTTCGTCGATGGCGAAGAGAAAACGAAACTTCGATGAAAGACGTTGGGCAATGACGACGACGCAACCATTTTGAGCCACGAATTACTCGTCGACATTATATGTATATATATATATACCATGGACCATGAAGGAGTTTATGGCCATAAGTTTCGGAAATGTCAAGCACATCCCCTGACCTCTCGGTCATGCCTTGGTAGAAAAGCCCCTCTTTAAGGAGTGCACAGATTGCTCTTCTTGCTCTTAGTCGTGCCCAGTTGAAGAGTTCAGAGGGATTAGTCCTACACTTAGAGGCTTTAAGGGACAGATCTCGAAGCTTTGGAACTGAATGGAAATCCAATGCTTCTATGGGTTGGCCATCACTATAAGGTTCCCAAATGTTTTCTCCGGGAAGCTTTCAAATCCAATCGCTTTGGAACTCGGAGCCGCTTTAGTCCTCCTACTGAGAGAGGAGCTTCCAAAGAGTTCGTTTCCAGGCGACGACGCCAAGAGACTCGAGGGAGGACCTCGGGGTTCCCGCTGGTCTGAATGGAACCAAAAGGAAGCACCTTGTTACTTCTAGCTTCTTGTTACTACTAGCGTGGCACCTGTTACTAGTAGCGTGGCACTTGTTACTACTAGTATGGAAGACCTTGGAAGACCTGAACCGCTCTTTCTGTCTTTCTTGTTCCTTTCGGTTTTGGAAGTGATTCCACTGAACCTGGCCACCCCTCAAGAGGAGACTCATCAAAGTTTATCCCCACCAAAGCAATATGTTCACGCCCTCATGGTTGTCATCATAAATTCCAATATGTCTCAATAAAGGACTCAAGCCCATATTTGCAGGCCACTGCGTTTGACTCCAGTTACTATAACTGGACATTGTGGGGGCGTTGGAGTTCGGTGAAAGGCGGTGTCCCACACTTCTTCCAGTCTTTGCTCAAGGCTTGGGGTTCGTGAGGCCGGGAACCCCGGAACCGGCGGGACTGGTGTGCTTTTGGGTGGTTTCAGTCAGGATCCCGCCATACCAAACTGGCCCTTCCCAGTCGTCTCCTCTTCCTAGCCGGTTCAGGTGCAGTATGTGGTACCTGACCTGCAATGTACATCCTTGGAAAGGTTTGGCCCATTCAGTTTACCAAACTGCAACACACTTGGTTGACAGATCTCCACTCTTCCAATAGACATCTTGGGCCGTAGACACCACCAGTGGCCCCTAGAAGATGCTTGGTCCCCAGTGAACTGACACCAGCACTGTTGGAGCAGTTGTTATTTTCGCAGAGTCGTGGTATGACCAGCAAACTGCGCCACTCGCACCATCTCGCACCAGCTGGAATATTCGGAAGACACCACGAATGCCAGGGACAACCTTTCCTGATACGACACAGTGTGTAAAGATGTCCATGACTCCCTTTTACACTAGTAACAAGGCGCCTCACTACTAGTACGTAGCTAGAAGCTCTTGTAACAAGGCTTCAACCTGCAGGGTGATGTCGACAAACCGACCTTCACAGGTCAGGTGACGAACCAGACAGGTCGTGGCCGTTCATCTGAGCAGGACTCGATTTATCGAGCATCTAGACACAGAGACTGGGATTTGCAATAGTGAAAGAAGGGCCTGTTAAAGCAGCATGGATGACCATATTGACAATATGTAGATATATGTTGTATAGACTATAGATATTGGATTAAGCATGCAAAGGGCGCCGCACCATGGCTGGAGTTCTGCAAAGCCGTAACAGCCGAACGAGGTGAACAATTCCGATCACAGACTCTGCATCAACTTGCACCATGGCTTCGATATAGCCACCATGGCTTCGATATCACTACACATGAAAAGACTGAGAAAGGCCACAGAGACTTGTGTGGTTTGCTTGAGTTGTGCTGCCACATAGCTGCCATGGAGCTGCTGATGGATGGGGTTATTGACACCCATATTCATCTCAGTGAGCATTACAAGGGAGGTGGGGCACCTGGGGCATCTGCAGCACGTGTGCAGATGCTAATTCAGGGGGGCATCGATTCTATGGATGTGCGGATGTGGGCTGCACCCAGTAAGTTCAGCCAAGGGCCATTTGGCACGATTTGTTCCACCAAGATGTGCAACAGAAATGCTGAAGTTTCACAACACACTGAATGAAGCGTGTGAATTGAACGTCCCACGCAGCGCTTTGACATGTGACGATATTGTGCCGTGGTCATTCCAGAATGTTCTTCTTCCGGCCTCCAATTGACACATAGATGTGAATCTGAATAAGCATGAAAAAACAGACCGTAAAGCATCATAAGCCCGTTGGAAGTTGGAGGTTCAAATATATACTTAGTTGATCTTATTTGGAGAACAACCAATCGACTGATGGCTTCATCTAGCTCAGTTACAGTAGCTCAGTCCTTGGAAGTCTCCCTGGTTCTCTTCCTTCTCTTCGTCTCATCAACGTTTGGGTGTGCTTCGCCCCGCGTGCCCGTCCGGCCGTTCCGCCTGGTGTTGGTTCCTTCGTCAGGGCTGCCCAACTCCTGGCATCCCAAAGTCGACTCGCCGGGCTTCCAACGAGCCACGAGGCTGAACGGGTGTGATTGTTCCTTTAAAAGCGTCCGATCGCTCCCTTCGTAGCGATGGACTCTTTTTCTTACTAACTAGTAGCATCCTTTGTTCCTAGTAGCGATGCCAGGAGCCCCGTTCGTAGCATCCTTTGCTCCGTTCGTAGCGATGCCCTTTGTTTCTAGTAGCAAGAATGCTCTTAGTAGTAAGGCCAGGAGCCCCGTTCGTAGCGTCCTTGCGAGTGGGGTGATGGAGCCGGGTGTTCCGAAGGTAAAGATCGCGGAGCTGGGTGGATTGGAGAAAGCTGTCCAGCTCCTGGGGTCTAGTCGGAACAGCTCATTTGCACAGAAGATCACCAAGCTGGCGGCGCATTGGGAGATCAGTCAAGACATGTCAAGACGAAGTCCATCGCTCCGACGTGTGACGCGGAAGGCTTCGTGATGTGTCCTGAGGATTGGAGCTTGGAGGACTTTCGCGCCTCCACGAAGCGTGGAGCCGGCGGAGCCTCACGCTTCGGGGTGGTGGGCGCCATCTTTGTGGAGTGCTTCAATGAGGGGCCACTGGAGGAAGCCCAATGGGTGCCTTGGTCCGGTGTCGAAGTATGCGGCGTCATGCTGTGGAGGGGAAGGGGTGGGGTGGACAATGCTGTGTAGTGCATTCGGTATGTAAATATGTCATGGTGTGTAAAAGGTCTACGGCGTTTATTTGTCAAAGGTCTTGAAATCTGTGTGGTTGTCCTGTTTCCAGCACTCTCCAAAGTACAGCTGGAGTGCATTGTCTGTGGTGGTGGATGAAAATTTGCCCAACGCACAGCCACTGTCAAATCTTGACGCCAGAATGGTGAAAAAGACAGGTGACAAGCCCACTCATATATATATATATATAATATGGGCCCTCGAAATTAGGATGGAGGCCCTCGCCATTAGGCTGGAGGCCACTGCTACTAGGTTGGAGGCCATTGCTATAATCATGTTATAGCAAAAAGATATTATTCGAGTGCAGGGCATACATGAGCATATTAAACCCAGAGGATTGGTAATCATGAACATTGACTCATGGATTGAGGAATGTTCGATGTTCACATCTATGTATTTTGCATCCTTTTCCTTCTTTCACTTTCATCTATCATGACGCCAGGACACACAGTTTCTACAGCTGCAGGATTCTCCTACTCATTTCACCAAGAAGTCTGCTTCACTCCACTCTCTCTCTCTCTCTCTCTTAATCATATTCAATTGACCCTTTTTCCAAGCTGCACACAGTGTTTCTTCTTTCATGCAGCAAAGCGTCCGCGGCTGAGGTTTTAGACTTGATGCAGAAAGATCCCTTCCTTTTGGGCCTCGTGGCCCAGATTCGTGTCCAGCAGGGCCCCGAGCATGTGCACCTCGATCAACCTGTGCACAGTTGACCCGAGGACTGGAGTTTGGGATGTGCGGGTGTGCATAATGAACTATCATTGTCCATAAGCTTTATTGGATGTTGGTGTACAAACTCAAACTATTGCCGAAGTATGATGCGCTGACGTAAAGCATTCACTGTTGCGTGTTCCTGGCTCAATCAGTCTACTTCTGGCAGGTCACCGTTCTCCATGGTGGTGTCAACCCCCAACCGAGGAAGGCCTTCCTCGAGAAGATCCGCCTGCCCAGCGGCGAGTTGCCCAAGGGCCTCAAAGGCGCCCGCACCTCGGTCGGAGGAGCCAAGGGCATCGCTACGAACGGAACGAGGACGCTACGCACGGGGCTGGCATTATTAACTACTTGTAGTTGCATTCTTGCTAGGAACAAAGGGCATCGGGTTTGGAAGCGTCGCTGGAGAATGCGACAGGTGTTGGGTCGACGGAGAGGTCGTGGGGGACCTGGGAGGTGGGAGTCGCATGAAGTGGCTCTATGGGGTTGAGTGGGCTGTTCGGTGTTGGTGGGGACATTGCATGGCATTGCTGGTTTGAAGATATGGAGGACTGAGACAGGGAGGTTCATACTGTGAGCAATGCGACAAAGCTGAAGTCGTCACGAGCTCTACAGAATTCACCGCGTGCGAATTGAGCCAAGAGCTTTCAGGTGAATTCAGATGCTTGCTTTGAAAGCAGAGATGCAATCCCTCGGCACCACGATTCATTATTCCTCTCAATGGTCCAGGCTTGAATCACACCCTATACAGTTTGCCGGAGACAGAAATCTATGCCACAGGAGCCACGTAAGCCGGAAACCACGAAGAGCATTGTTTGGACCTCGTGAATTTGCCTGGGAGCTCTTTGTGAACCTCCCAAACCCCCCACAGCATGAACAAAACACACAAGCAAAGAAAGGACACCATATCCTGACCTCATCCAGTCCTGACCCTGATGATTCACCACTCGCCTCAAAATGCACGACACCAACGCCCGCAAGCCTTCCGGCGCCCCGACGGTTGAGCAGCTCCAACCTGCAGGAAAGGTAATTTGACTGATTGAGTTTGGGCCCTTTGGACCATTTGGGCTTCCAGGACAACTGCAAAAAAAGGCAAGAGAATCGCACAAAAAGAGGCAGCACGTGGATTGCATATGATTTCATAAGACTCCCAGAACAGTTTGTCTCAAATCACTGTGCTTGCATTGGGGCTCTACTGAGGTTTTGTGTTCATGGCTTGCGAGAACCAAGCGGATGACGCCTGCTTAGATCCCTGGAGTTGATTCATGTCGATTCGGTTCCCTCTTCTTGTGTCGCTCATGTCGGAAGCATTAGCAGCTCCTAGCACTCCTGTTAATGATTGCAAGGATCTCAGACCCAGGGCTTTAAGAATCAGAGCATGTTTGTTCACTCGAGGCCGCAGTAATGGCTGAATGCTTTCCACGTTTTCTGTGATCGTTCACTGGGCTGATTTCACCCGGCGTCCCCAGACCAAATCGATCGGAAGTGCGGAGTTCCGCCGAGGATCCCGTCTTCCTCGAGGGTCTTCAGGTGCTCAGCGATGCACAGCTGCTCTGGGAGTTCTGCTGTGAGCCGCGGATGGCGCTGCATTTGCCCAGCTGCGACGTGTCCATCCGTGGGTGTCAGACATTGGCGGTTTTACCACCCACCCCGAAGACAAGGGCTGTAAGATGGTATAGGCTTTTGGTGGACATAGGCAGAATGGTTTCAAAACCACGGGATAGGTGAACAATGGTGAACATCAGGAGGTGTATCATCAACAAGAACGGGCTAGAGGGTTCTGTTCCTTTGATTGGCGAGGCAGCAAACTCAGTGAATATGTTTACTAGTGTCTCTGGGTTGAACTCCATGCTTCTCGGATCTGCTCGAGTTGTATATTTTTGCCCAAACCCTCGGTTCTTTTTTCTTGTTTTGTTAGTCCGTTTGAGGAAAGGAGCTTCGATGGAATCGTAAGTTCTGGCCCACACACACACACTCCATATCATATCGATCAAGCGTCTACCCACATCATCCACCGGGACCACTTAGAATCCTCACACGCCACAAAGAGATTTAGAGACTGTTGATTATTTGCATCGGATCAAGAGCTCTTGAATGGGGTCTTCATGCAGTGCTGACAATTGCACCGTCACTTAGTGTTCCTATTGGACGAACATTTTTGGAAGTTTGTCGCTGTTGTACTTATCGAACAACAATTTATATCTGGCATAGCTTTCCGCCGGCAGAAACACAATCACCGCCCAGGCATCAAGCGTTTCCCCAAGATGACCTTTGTCATTGACCACCTGGCGCACAATGGCTCCAAGGGGGGCGTTGCCTGGAGTTGTACAGACATGTTGTTGTTCTATCTTTCTAAAGCACAAAAGCAAAGAAAGATATGGCGTTGTACTATAATGTCAACACAGGAAGCATAAGATTGTCAATATTCAATGCTCACAACCCACAGGTGGATGTTGGGAGTTTCATTGAGTCTACTGCATCGATGTACCGCCCTGATGCGACTACGACTGAGGACATGGACACTTGGAGTCCCGCCATTGATGCCCTTGGTCAGCTGCCCAATGTCTACATGAAGATGGGCGCTACTGAACAGTGGGAGGTTGAGGACCCAGGCAGCATGCTGTTTTAAACAAATGCATGCCGTGCGTGAACGCGCTCGTGCGCTAGAAACGTGGTCCGAGAGGCTGGAGGGAGTAGAAGACTGGACCGACTGGACCCAGGTTCTTGACACGTTGGTTCTAGGTGAGAATCCTTTGCTTCTAGGTTGGAGGCCATTGCTTCTTGACACTATGGCTCCTTCTTGACACTGAGATGCCCAGAACCCCCAAAATCAGCTCGTCGTGGGCGAACCACCCGGATACTCATCGATTCCGGAGACAAGCGGAGGTGCCTACATGGACCGGGCCATCAAGGCGAGCGAAGGAGCACGTGAGATGCCGTTGCAAGTCATTGGTCATTGGTCGAAGTGGTCACCATGTTATTCTATTTGTTTCGCCAAAGAGGTATATCCCAGAGAGGCTATTGGTGCAGATTTGTCGCCGACGATTAGCTGCAATCTGTTTCAGTGAGACTCGGGTTGGAAACCCATGGCCAGCAGCAGGATGTCACTGAGGTGGTTTCTTTCTTGCTACCAAATCGTCCTTTGGATTTCGGATCTCGGATATCCATGGTGTTGGAGGGTTAATGTTCAAAAATGTTGACGACAGTCTAAATCTTAGCCAGATTTTCCATCGTAGCTCCACTCCTGCACACATTCCGGGCTGGATATGGATATGCTTTCTTACTTGATGATTCTCGTGTGAAACTGGGTACAAGACAGTACTAGGATCTGAGTGACGAGCGTGTTTGAGTGCAGACTGAGATCGGTCACTGGTGAGGCCTTCGATCTCATTTCGTCTCGTTTCACGGGATCGGTCTCATCCTGTGAGGCCTTCGGCTTTGACCGGATTCTTTATGAGTCCAATTGGTTCGTCAACGAGGCCATGGGCGATGCCTATGACCGCACAGCTACCCTCCTGCCGCTGTGCGAACGGAGTGAAGGGAGCGTGGATGGAATGGAACGGGAGGATGAAACAGGAACAGTTGACAGGTGTGGGAACAAAAGTATCTACTGGTACTATAGTCTCCTGCTTTATTTGATGTTGCAGCCAAAGGTTGATGGAACGTTTCCTGCAAGAATTCAGGAAACTGGTTGGTGCACTAGCTTTCGATTCTATTCTTACAAGCGCTCTTCCAGGTCAACCTGCAAGTTATGAACTCAGTATCTTGATCAACCTGCAAACACGCCTCCAGAAAAGGAAAAAAACGTGTGACAGACTGTGACAAACAAGCTGCCTTGCGCCTTTTGGGCCGCATTTGCATATCGAGGTACGAAGCCTGCCAGCGCGCCGGCGCGAGCGACCTGGACTTGGTCAAGGTCTTCCGAGGCAACGCCTGCCACGTGCAACCTGTGCAACCAAGGGCTGAGGGGCGACATTTTTTGATGTTTGTTTGGGGATGAACACCCTTCGTGGGTGGTGTCTTTTCGTTTGAGCCCACAAAAAAAGAGAGAGAGAGAGAGCAAAGCGGATGCTGACAAAAGCTATCCCAGCCATGACAAATGGACGAGTCTTAGAACAGGGAGATTTACCGAGCTCCCCTGATGAAGAAACATCAAGGACGAAAATACCATCCCGTCACAAACATACCGTGTAATCATATACTTACTGGGTCCTGTGACAGGTGTCCGATCTTTTGTATGAAGGTCCTGTGACATTTATTTGTGCAAAGAATTCACTGGTCATCAGTCATCACTCGTCAGTCGCGGTGACGTCTGAATGGTCACTGGTTTAGTGTGTGTGTGTGTGTGTTCATCGCTGCGTAGTTGGTGCTATTGTATGCTATTGTTCTTTTCGGTTTTCTGGGAGGGGGTGTGGCAAGAAGGGAGATGTTATGAAAACATGGTAATAAAACATCAGTCGATTTTGTGGAGCACTCATGGCTGCTTTGGTCCACTTCCAGCATGTGCAGATATCAAAAGAATGGTTCAGCATCAAAAGAGGGACAACAGAGGACCCTGCAAACATTAGAATTGGATAGAGACCGCACCACAAATGGGTTGTTTAATGGGTTGTATAGTTGTATGCAGTCTATTTTGCCTTCCATGGGTCTGTGGAGGGCATCCCTCTTCAATTACATGATACGCACAGCTATTGGCATTGGGTATTGTTGGAGAATAGCCACAGTTACTCAAATGTATCAATCCATGTTCCGCTCAAGGGTCATGGAACTGGCTACCAGCACTGGGGCGGAAGTACAAACCGCAGAAGGAACACTGAGCATCCGTGTGTGTGTGTGTGTCACCAATTGGGGGAATCCGTTTCATCCGTCCCTCCCACGAGTCCAGACATCGTTGCTCCGATCTCCGATCTCGGCCCAGGTCAATGGGTCTCCAACCTAATAGCAACAGGAAGCTAATAGCGATGGCCTCCACCCTAGTAGCGATGGCCCAGGTATCAACTGGATCTCTAGGCGTTGCTGCGCAAGCTGGGCCGACATGCAGGAGGATCTGGCGTCCTCATCCGCGCAGAAAAGAGCAACGTTGGGTGGCTGCTGACGTGTCATGCTTTGAGCTGGGATGTGCTTCCTGTGGCATCTGTGATCAGAAAAGATCAAAAAGCGTAAGGACAACAGAGGTGATTTGTCATGTGACTCACAAGGTTGTCATGGGATAGAAGAGATAACTTTTAGCACAACAATTATGACATTTTGATGATCCACCATAACGTGTTGTACTATTCCAGCTTTCTAACTCAACTATTTCTGTGAAAACAGTTTGCATGTCCACACTGGACCAATCGGCATTGATTCAACACGCAGTCCAACGGATGGGGCCAATGATCGGGTGTCCAACGGTCACAGGCGACTCTTGCAGAGGTGGCCGCCGCCGTGGTCCGCCGGGGCGCCCGGAGAAGGCTGTGGGGCAAGAAGCAAAAGAGCAAAAGCAGCATTTGGCAGACCAGTGACACCCCCAAAAACACCCTTCTCAACAACAATCCCCAGTTGCGCATGGTTGAAAGGGATCAGATAGCTCCTTGGCTTGACGCTGTTCTCCGGTCTGAGCGCCAGTTTCTTTGGGTGTGCCACAATGAAGCCCAATCACCCAATCCGTTTCGCCGCTTAGGGGTGCACAGCTTGCAGTTGGATGAGTCCTCCAAGCTGCCGAACTTCCGCACGGGGACCCGATCCGCGGGAACATCGGGGAATCCGTTTTCTGTGTTTCTCGAGAATTGGAGGCCATTGCTTCTACGTTGGAGGTCATCAATTGAGTCCACTGGGGTGATGGTTTGGTCTCACAAAGGTCTCAACATGTCTCAACATGTGACGCAGATGTTCGGTGGGTGGTTGAAGGGTCATTGTGGTGGTTTGCACAGCGTCCAAGGTTGTCCCTGACTAGGCGGTTCACTTCAATCTGTTTGGTTGAGGCTGAGGGTTGAAACCATGTGAAAGGGAAAAGTGGTGCCTGGATAGGGTTCAATGTTGTGTTTGTTTCCTTCACTTGGAGGTTTGGCTCATTCAATGTTGCCTTTGAGGACTGGCTCCTCAACAACTTCACACAGACCATGTGTTGAGGGGTATTTGCTAAGGGTTCATCCAATTTTGCCTCTAGGGATGTGTATGGCAGTGTGGCAGTGTGGCTGGACTTGAGGTCACAGGAGCTTGTGAGCAACCCTTGCACTGCACTTCTTGCAAGAATCCTGATGCCACCTCGCATGCAGAAAAACTGACATACATAAAATTGATTAAAGAGGTGTGTATATACATACAAAATCCACAGGAGTATTTAAGATCCCTTTAAAACCATTACAAGGGGGATATGAATATACTAGTTATATAATATATATATGTGTGTGTATATGTATACCCCTCAGGTGTTCCAGATGTCCCACAGTTTTGTCCAAGGTGGCAGCTTTGTGAAGCTCGCTTCGGTGGAGAGTGAGGAGGTGAAGCAACGGTTTACCTGTTGGAGACGGGGTGGGGCACCCTAAAATTTGATATTTTCTCCAAGAGACCTCTGTGCGTGGGGATGTGGCTCAGGTGGGTGATGACGTTTTGGAAACTTTTGTTTAGCTCACTCCTACTGAAATTTAGTAGGCACCTGCTTAATTAAGTAAGGGAGAAGTAAGCTCCTAGCAATAAGAAGCTCTTGGCTAGAACGCAGGGTAGCGAAGACGCTTCTTCAAGGAAGCTTCCCGCTTCCGCTGATGATTTGGTTCCTTGATTTTTAGGGAAACGTCTCACTGGGCTCACGTCTCCAGTGTGCTTACTCTTGACAGATGGTCTGAAGGTATTCACGTTGGTGGGCACTTGGAGGGAGATGCTCTTCCCATGTGCTTTCGGTGAGTTCACTGATTTCAGGAGAATAAGAGTTTCTTCAGAAACAGGAAGCTAGAGTACGTAGAGTATCGCGAATACCGGTCGCCGCATCTTCAGAGGAAGCGAGTTCATGTATGTTATCTAGCTCTCTCTCTCTCTCTCGCTTTGTTCGGACATTTAGTCTCGCATTTATCAGTTGGGTCTTACAACTAGGCTAAATCTATCTAAATCTGCTAAATTCGGATAGGGTTGCTGAAATTCGAATAGGGTTCTTGAGGCTTTCCTGGATACACCACCTGCTGAAATCCCGATGGAGCTTCGTGATGCCTGCAATATGATTCAACAATATTTAAGTATATATAAGTATATACACTATGCATGATGCAATTACAATTCCCTTTGCAACACCTATATTAATGCATGAATGTACGCCTCGGTGTGTATAGAGATAGGTTTCGACCATGTTTGTGTCTTTAGATTTCCTTTCACACATTCTTGACCTATATGAGTAGAATCTCGTACAGTAACCACCGTACCGATCGAGAAGGTACTGGGTAGGAGCGGAGTGTCCACAAGTGTTTGTACCCACTGCAAAGTGGTGCTACTCAGTGGATAAAGAGACGAGCAACGCAATATACTTCAACCTTCGGACACTTTGCACATGTTTACACCCTTTCACAGAGACCAATTTTTCCATCGCCGTAGGGAATGGGTTCGAGATGGTTCGAGGTGTTGCTTCAACTGCTTGAACGCAACAGCTTCGGGAAAAACCTTTGTTTGGAAGTTGCATAAGGCTGTGTGTAAGGACCAAGATGTGTGTCCTTTCTTAAGGACATAGTCTTCACTATGTCTTTATCAGTGTTGTAGAGTCTTGTCAGACAATGGAACCCCGGGAAACCGAGTTTGTAAGACTTGTGATGCGGAAACTGTTTCTTCACGTCACAGTGAAGCACCTGCCAAGACATGGTCTCACAGTCACAGGGCAAAGTTGAGTTCCACTGAATTCCAGCTAAGTCAACGAAGAGAGTTCGTTTGTCCGTGTTTGTCCACATCTCCATGTTGGAAATTGCTAGCCAGGTGGAGGCTCGCGTGATGTGGGCAGGGCTGGAGGCTGTGTGCCACTCGGTGGTCTGGGTGGTTGATGTGTGGGGAAAGCGAAGGACTGAATATGCGGGTGCAAGAAGTCGTGAGAAAAGTAAAGCTTCTTGTTTGAGCTGAGAAGAGCTTAGGGCATTCTGCCATTTGGCGGGTGAATGGTATACGGTGTATAATATGTATGCAGTGCTATTGTCCACTAGTCTTTGACCTGATAGATTGCAATCGACTCAAGTCATGTCATGTCTGACATTTGGACGTCCAAAACCAATTGGATAGAACTGTTGCAGCACATGTTTTAAGATGTTTGTATTTAGAAGATTTACATGTTTATTTGTTCCTGCCGCCGTTGTACTTGATCTTTTTTTCTACATCTCCATCTTCCGAGCCTAAACCAGTCTACCGGATGGCTTAGCCTGTTCTTTTACCAAATGGTTTGGAGAATATAAGTTGTTCCATTCTTTAACCCCTTAGGCCTTTTGCACCCCGTGGTGCAAGAGGCACATCATGACACATCACTGTTTATTGCCTTGGGTTCTACTTTGTTTTCAGATGAATGTCTTCGAGCTACGAGGGCTCCATTGTCAAAGAAAAGAACATTCGGTCTCTACTACTGATGGGTTCGCTGCTTTGTGCTTCTTGTCGAACCAGTTCTGGGAAGATTGCTCTCCATGGGTAAAAGAGCACGTCCAGTGCCAACGCAACACGGACCTCCGGTCTTTTTACATTGTACATTTTTGAATAGAGACCCCCTGAGACCCGTGGTTCCAAAGGAAAAGTAGGCAAAGACCCATTGGCTGGCGGGTCTCCACATTCCAATACACACCCATATGGATCGTTGTGTGTTGAGCGTCAGCATCTTTTTTTTGCTCAGTGACGTTTGTTGTCAACTCATAAAGCTGCTCTTTGCAGGTGGCCATTTGCTTCACGAACTAAATCTACTCTCCGTTCTGAAAGACTTTCTATGTCCATATGGGTATTTGTCATGTGCTTCACACATGTCTTCGCTTCTTCCCTCACTAAACACGGCCCATTGCATGATTTCTGCCTACTGTTCAGGATGCTTCTGATCTCCAGCTGGGCTTGCCCTGTAAATCCCAACCGATCTCGGGCCCTGTGTGGATGAAAAGGGAATTATACTCGAGCTCCCTGTAGTTGTGAAATCAGCTACACCTTCCGCTACAGCTTTATGTACAGCTTCCCCAAAATATCGTCAGCCAGTAGTTGCCAGATTCTTCTCGGTCCATGGTGAATGGCCGAGGCCTGGCCTATGAAGGCTGCCTTGATGTGAACGGCAAGCCCATCAATTCTCAGGCTCAGTAGCCTCCAATGGCCGCGATGGACACCCTTCCAAGACCAAATCGACAAAGACCAAATACTAGTAGCTTCTTGTTACTAGTAGCGATGCCGGGAGCCCCTAGTAGCGTCCTTGTTCCTTAGGACGTCTCCTGGTTTGTGACCTTGTCCGATATGTCAATGATGTGACCTTGCTCAAGTTCAGACACAGGACTGTGGACTCCACTGTGGACTACATGGAAAGGGTACATCGTTTGGTCAGACGGCCCGCAGAGAAAACCACCGATTTCTTGGGTTCATTGGGAGTTGGAGTTCTTGCATCAGTTCCAGGTGCAGGTTGGCTTTACAACATGTTTATATCCTAGACGATCAATACATTGACACACATTTGAGCACAAAAATAAGCAGGATAGAATCAGAATAAACAGCAAGTTCAGTTGCCTATAGGAACCAGACTTTGCTGCGCGAGGCCGGAGCCACGTGGGGGCACTCAGTTGTCGGCCGCGACATGCCAATGCCGGGGCCACGAGGCAAACGAAGGGTTTGAGCCTCGTGTCTGGCGGACAGCACTGGCTGTCTTCAGCACACGGTTGCAACGTGGCAACGTGTTCATATTCAAGGCTTGCTGCATGGAGCCGGCTGCAAGATCTTTCCGAAAGGCTGTTGCTGCTTCAAGATTCTCAGGCCCGACGGTCCTCTTCGGTGGTTGATATATAGCTTGGTACAGATGCTATGTTTCGGGTGTAGCGATCTTTTGGTAGGCTACTCACAAGGCCGAAGTGCTTTGACATTTGGTGAGCAGGTTGTGGTATGAAGCCCCTT